GAGGAAGAGGAGAGAGAGGAGGAGAAGAAAGACAACTTCTCTGTGGATAGGCTTTTGTTTCTTGTTTTGGTTTTCTGAGACAAGGTCTCACAATGTAGCCCAGGTTGGCCAGGATTTACTGTGTAGACCAGGATGGTCTATCCTCCTGTTTCAGCTGCCTCAGCGCTACAGGTGTGTGCTGTCACACTGGGGTATTCTGTGGGTGTTTCTGATGGTGAAAAAGATAATACTTTTTTTGTTTTGTTTTGTTTTTTTTGAGACAAATTTTCTTTATGTAACAGCCCTGGATGTTCTGGAACTTGCTCTGTAGACCAGGCTGGCTTTAAACTCACAGAGATCTGCCTGCCTCTGCCTCCCAAGTGCTGGGATTAAAGACATGGGACACTAAAATGACTATGTACACATAACTTAAAACTAAAATCTTGGGGTGAGTAAGGAGTAAATTGGGAAAAGCTGGGGAAGGGGATGCTGAATGTGTCCAAAACAGACTGTGTGAAACTCAAATAATCAATAAAAAAATAAAATAAAAAGTCTTGGGTAGACATGGTGGTGCACGCCTCTAATCTAATCCAGAGGTAGGTAGATCTGTGAGTTCAAGGCCAGCTTGGTCTACATAGAAATACCCTAAAAAATAAAAGAGACAGGGGCTGGAGAGATGGCTCAGTGGTTAAGAGCACTGACTGCTCTTCCAGAGGTCCTGAGTTCAATTCCCAGAAACCACATGGTGGCTCACAAACGTCTGTAATGAGATCTGATGCCCTCTTCTGGCCTGCAGGCATACATGGAGGCAGAATGTCGTATACATAATAAATAAATCTTAAAAAAAATAAAAATAAAAGGGTCAACTATCTCTGGCTTGGTACAAGTCTTTAATCCCAGCACTCAGGAGGCAGAGGCAGGAGGATCTCTACAAATTAGAGGCTAACCCAGTCTACTTAACAAGGTCCAGGTCACCCAGGGCCACATAGTGAGACGTTGTGATCATAGCTGCCACATGTTTAACGATGTTTATTGTGTCTCGTGTATGAGTGTGCATAAGCAGAAGTGTAATGCCTTAAGTGTGGAGGTCAGAGGACACTTTTGTGGGCATCAGCTTCCTCCCTCCACTCCATGGGTCCCAGGAATTGACCCGAAAGTCCTCAGGCTTAGCCAAGACAACCTTTATTTATCTCCAGAGTCATTTCAAAAGCCTGCATGTTTTTGTTTGTTTTAAGACACAAAACTTTATCTAAATTTTGTTGGTAGTTCCAGGCTCAGTGTGAGCAGACCTGAAACTGACTGCCCCCAAGTGCCCAAGTTGGGGGAAGGAGGAAGGAGAGGGGAAGAGCCCTGTTCTGCCTTGGTGTTACGTTCTTTTTGTTGTTGTTGTTGTTGTTGTTTTGTTTTGCCTTGTTGTGACTGAGTCTCGCTATATAGCCCTGGCTGTCCTAGAACTCCCTGCGTAGACCGATCCCCTGCTCCCCTCCAAAAGTGCTGGGATAAAAAGTGTGGGCTGCCACACCCAGTCAGAGTGATTTGTTCTAAAGATTCGGTCTCCTGCAGCCCAGGCTGGTCTTCAAATTTCTACTTAGCTGAAGCTGGCCTTGAACTCTGTCCGGCTGCACCTCCAAGTGCTGGGATCCCAGAGGTGCACCCCACCCAGCTGCTCCCTCCTCCTCTCTCCCTCCCTCCTTCTCTCTCAGGACACTCTGTTCTAGGTCAGCCTCCAACTCACAGCAGCTTTCTGCCCTCATCCTTCCAAATGCTAGGATTACGGGTATGCCATCATTCCTCTTACCAGGCATTTTTCGCAAGTTGTGGTTGAGTCTACAAGAGCCACAAGGACTCAGTTACAGACCAGAAAGACTGTGAGAACAGGCTGCTCCCGCTCCCCGTCCCCCCAGCTCCCTTCAGGGACTAGAGACTGAAATAGATAGACGTGGGGCCGTCACCCCCCCCCCACGCACCCCCATGCTCCCCAGAACTGGGGCCTCACCAGAATAATGATGTTGCCTACAACCAGCAGCCCCACCACCACAGGAGACCCCTTCTCTCCCTCTGTTGCTGCAGAATCCATCTTCCTGCTGGGGACATGGAAGCAGGGGTGAGACAGGACAGAGGTTAGGAGGGAGGGCCCAGCAGATCCTCTTCTCTGTCTGTCAGGGGATGCTCCTTTGCTGCAGAGCCCAGGCTGATACCCATCCGCCCAGCATCCCACAGCCTGGCTGTGAGCCTTCTACAGAAGAAGAGAGTTGGGCTCTTACAGGGTAGTTGTTGCCTCTCAGCTCCCCCTGCCCTGTTAATTCCCAGAACCCCCTCACCTTCTCTGCAGAAGCTTCTTTGGCCAGCCCCACCCACCCACAGCAGCTCCCTATATATGCCCAAAACCCTCCAAGGAGGAGGGGACAAGGGTTCAGCGGGCCGACCATGATGGGAAGATAGATTTTATGAGTGATTTCCAGACCTGAAATTCAGGATTGTGCTCATGACTGGTCACTGGGGCAAGGGGATGCATGTGCCCAGGGCCTCTAGTTCCCAGGCTGCAGTGATGCAGGAGGGGTGGGGGGGGGAGGGGTGGACAAGCTAATCCCCACGACACGTGCTGCTCTTTCCCTGGGGACAACAAGGGTTTTCTTGGGAGCAGAAGTCGGATCCATGACAGATCCACCTGGGGATCCCTGATCAGAAAACTGCCTCCCACACAGAGCGAGAACTGAACGAAGACCCCCACAGCAGAGGAGCACAGAGCAGGCCCAAGGCAGGCCCCTGGGAGGGGCTAGAGAGGAGAGGCAGTTGGTTAGGGCTGCAGCGGCAGCAGCGGGGGGATGGTGATAGCTTGAGGGGGTTTGAGACAGGTGTGTGTGAAGAGGGAGGGAGGAGTGTGCTAGAAGAAGAAAGGGGACAATGGCACGGGCTTGGTGGGACACACAAGAGCTTCTTTCCTCAGTACACACACACACACACACACACACACACACACACACACACACACACACACACACTCATGCGCGCGCACACGCACATTTTGTTCAGGCTGAATAACGGAAGGGATCTAAATTCAAGCAGGACAGAATAGTGCACACCTGTAATTGTAATTCCAGTAGTGGGGAGATGCAGAATCATGGGTTCAAGACCATCCTGAGCTTCAGAGGCTGCGGGTGGGGTTGGGACAGAGACGGGGAGAGAGTGGAGGTGGAGGAGGAAAGGGAAACAAAAGAAAGAAACACATCTAGGCGTAAATCTTGCTATCTCCTAGTGCCGGCGCGACTTTGCGCACATCTGCACCCGAGTAACTCGGTCCTTGGTTCCCAGGTGGCAGCGTCCAAGAAAACTTCGGAGGTTCGGTAGGCTAGCAGAGGCCGCGGTCTCCCCGACGGCACCCCCTGGTGGTCCCTTGAAGCAAGGTTCCTGCCCCAGAATATCTCCAGAGCTTTGGTTGAGTTTTCTCGGTCAGCAGTCACTTCCCTATCACAGGAGCAGGTAAACAAATGGCGCTTAAAATTCCCTTGTCAAGACAGTGGGCTAGCCAAGTGTGGGAGACTGGGACAGAAGACTATCAAGTTCAGGATTACTCTGTTATACGGCCAGTTACACGGCCAGCTTGTGTTACAGAAGGCCCTGCCTTGTCGCAAGCCATTAATCCCAACGGGAGCAGAAGGATGGATCTCCGTGAGTTCGAGGCCAGCCTAGCTTCCAAAGTGTGACTTCCAAGTCAGCCATAGATAAACAGTGAGACCTAACCCAAAAACAAAACACCAGGCATTGGTGTTAAGAAAAAAACATGGAAAGAAAGAAAGAAAGAAAGAAAGAAAGAAAGAAAGAAAGAAAGAAAGAAAGAAAGAACGAACATGAGGTTACACAGAAAACCCTGTCTGGAAAAACAAAAACAAAATTATTTTCAGCTGAGCAGTGTGTGGTGGCACACACCTTTAATCCTAGCACTCGGGGGACAGAGGCAGGCGGATCTCTGAGTTTGAGATGAGTCTGGTGTACAAGAGCTAGTTCCAGGATAGCTAGAATTGTTACATAGGACCAAAAACCTGTCTCAAAAAAAAGAAAAAAACAAATCGAAAAAGAGAGAGAGAGAACATGAGATGTTTTCTAATTTAAGTAATTGGAAATTAAACAATCAACCTATTTTAGATTTAAAATAGTTTTCTCTTTTGATTTACATCTATACATCTATATTAATATCTTCCAAGAAAACCTAAATAAATATTGATGAACAGTAGATAAGTTTTGGTCTAAATAATTTACTAAACATTTGGGCCATGTTAAAATAAATATACATATATATACATAGATATGTGTGTGTATATATATATATATATTGCTACAAGCCGCAACATTATATAGTAATTGCTCAGCCATCTTTTTATGAGCGACTTATAAGAACCAAGGGGCCTGGTAAAGGCTAAACCAAAAAACAAGGCTTTGTGGCGCTATTGCTTTGTGGATAAAATGGCTGTCCTTTGCTGTAGCTAACTCCCTTTGTGTTACATCTTTGGGGATTAATTCCCGCAGTTCAGAACTGTCTCGAGAAAACAGTTTGCCACTGCCAGGCCTGTTCCTCTCTCCTACATCAAGTGCTAAGATCTGCCTTCCTGCAATTATCTTTATCAGCAGGCATTTGATCAATGATCAAGGTCCAGGCAGAGAGTGCCCCATCTAAGACATTCACACATCTCCAAGGACGGAGAATTACTACCTGCCCAAACTGCTGCTCTGGTTTTACCCCACGACCAGGACGGTTGATAACGGCATAGCCCGGAACTGATAATTCAGAGGCCTGGGTCTCTTCTCCGCTTAGAGCAATAAGTCTAACTCCAGACCTAGGCCCATAGAAACTGCAGCGTCTGGTGTTTGTCTTATCAGATTCAAGCGCCACCAGCTTCCCTCTGACTTTTTAAGTAGGTTGTTTGGTTACCAGGTAAGCCTCTGTGCTTGCTGGGAGAAAAGAGGCGCGCTGATTTAAACAATCGGTGCTCTATTTATAGTTTCACTGGAAACAAACCTTTTAGCTCTTCCTACCACCGCAAAACATAGTGTAGTGCACTAACCTTCCCCTCTAGGATCCCCTGATGGTTTTTCCCTTTCTTAATTAACTTTCTCCGTTAACTAGCCACTCCCATGGATCTGTGTGTGAGCGTGAAAATCCTTATCTGATTTTCTATGGGACAAAAGAATTCCGGCCCTGGAACCTGCTAGGGCTAGGGAATTGCTGGTTTTAAGGATATATATGACTGGGAGCATTTGTAACAGGCGGGACTAAGAACCATGTAGAAAAAGGAGAACAAGTAACAGGTGGAACAATGGGAAATGATGGATTGGAGAGAGAACAAAGAAACACAGACAGACGACTCCCATTGTGAGAAGACTTCTTTACCCTCAGATTTTTAGCTCCCCTTTCCCTATTCTTGGCATCTTTATTTTGTTTGTTTGTTTATTTATTTATTTATTTTTGGTTTTTCAAGACAGGGTTTCTCTGTAGCTTTGGTGCCCGTCCCGGAACTAGCTCTTGTAGACCAGGCTGGCCTCGAACTCCCAGAGATCCGCCTGCCTCTGCCTCCCAAGTGCTGGGATTAAAGGCGTGCGCCACCACCGCCCGGCTTCTTGGCATTTTTAATTGAACTCTGAAGGGGAATCTTAAAGACTAAAACCTTTAAGGAAACCCATAAATATGTTAATATTATATTGTATATAAATATATAAAT